CGTGGTACGGACTCCATGGAAACACCCATTAGTAAGTTTTCACAATAAAATTCACATAATTTATCAACATTGTGTGTGTGTGTTTTCTCCATGAACAGCCAAACTGATGTCATGAATCTCTTCTTTTTGTACCGGTCTTATATTTATTTTTAACGTAATACTTTTTCCTCTTTTCGTCTTAGTAAATAAAGCTTATAATAACAATTTCTTCATCAGTGGAAAAAAAGTGATATTTTGAGTGTCGAAAAGCACTAAAATGGGGGTAACATCTGACAACCCTGTGTACATTACTCGATTCACATGCTGACTATGTACACTGTCAAAAAAAGTGTCTTGATAAACCACTCAGATGACTTAAAAATGCATCCACAGTGCGTTTTGAAAGCACGTTAGATGCATTTTCTCATCTTTTTACCGTTAGTCGCCTTAATGTCTTCGAAAAAAGCATCTCTAAGCCGCTTACCACCTCAGTCGCATTTGATAGACATCACTAATATATCAAAAACGCACAATACACTAACTACGGTCAAGACCTTTAATCATCCATCAGCCATAGATAAATCACGTAGCCATATCTAAGACACTGAAAATGCGACGAGACTCTTGTTAGACAGTGCGCCATACTGGTGGATACTCAAAATATCTCTAGCAAAAAAGAAATCGATATAGAAAAGTGCTCTAGCTGCGTTGTTTCTTCGACAACTACAGTAACTGTCGTGCTCACGAACAAATAATAGTGGCGATTTTGCGCCAATCGAGTAACCTGGTTTGTAACGAACCTACAAGATAACGCTCGTATGCCATTTGCTCAGTCTTCTACCTTTGTCAACTTATATTGGTATCAATAGCAGTAAACGTTTCTGTAGATTCAGAAAAGTACATTGGGAGATATCGTACGTAGAATATGATCATTCGACGTAATAAATTGATATTTCGAATGATGGGATAAATAGAAAAGAATATCAACGGTTAATTTTGTTTCTCTTAAAAATGTTGAATTATTTTTCTTATAACTGTTTCAAAAGAAAATAGACAAAATGATGATACGAATGTTATCTGTGAATAAAATCCAAGGTAGAGAAAACTGATTTGAGGATTTTGAAGATTTCAAAAGATTTGTAGAGATTTTAGAGATTCAAATCAGCTTTGATTTGAAGATTTGAAAGGTTTGGATTAATTTGAATTGCTTTGAATCGATTTAAATTGATTTCAATTGATGTGAATCAACTTGATTCGAAAGATTTGGATTGACTCAAACCAGTTTTCTCCCCCTTCATAAAACAGGTTAAGATTTGAAGCAGGTGTTATCCATTTCATAAAATTCAAATAATCTTTTGCATGATATTTAGAAGATTTTAAATACTCATGTATTCTCTCTACACTATTTCCATACACTGCAACCAATAAAAAGAAACCGCCGGTTTTAGCGAAAGTTTGACTAAGAGAAAACTAAGCCTGTGACACATTTCAGTCTCTTGTTATTTTCTTAGAATTCCTTTTTATTGAAGAAAAAATTAGCATTTTCTTAGCTGAATGCTCTTTTTCGATTAGGACAAGTCATCATTTGTCAATGTGAGTATAATAAAAGATTTCGACAAGTTTATTACTTTTACATGAACGTTCGGCATAAAATTCAGTTAATCACATTAAATGTGATGTTAACAAGGCATCTACGACTTTCTCTACGACAATAGAAAACAAGTCATTGGACCACGAGAAAAAAGAGTTTCGTTTTTCTATTATTTGTAGTATTTTGACCTTGGTTTGATATAGGCCGAATAATATTTAAAAGTGTTTCTCTCTACCTTTCTAAATTGAATTTATGTGTGTCAAGTAATATCGTTTATGGAATTGAAAAGCATGTTGTAAAAAGAACTCTAAGAACAAAAGAAAGAGAAAAGCTAATTTTTTAACGAGAAATAAAAACATACAATAGTTATGCAAAAATGTTCTGTCTTAGTGGTAAAGACTTTGAGCACATATATACGTGATGATTGTATAAAAATGGAAAGAAATATGAAAGACGGATTATAAATCCAAAATATCTGTTTATTTTGTAGAATATAAAAGTGCAGAAAATGCAGTTCATGTGATCATTGTATGGTAGAGTTCACTTTGTTTAACTTTAAACAAATGCCATATTCCTATAAACGCCGGATTTATGATTACAAAAACTCAGATTGGGAACTTTTTAGATCTGAGCTATTTTCAGTAAACTGGAATTCACTGTTAGCATCGCAGAACAGCCGTGAGGACAAAGTAACTACTTTCCAACAAAAATTTTTGGATGTAGCCAACACCATTTTAATTAATAAATGGATAACTGTTTCATCTCGCGATCAATCTGGGTTTACGGACAAGTTAAGGAAATTGCATCGAATTAAGCAAAAACGTTATAAAAAATATCAGGAGACAGGAAATCAAGCTGATAATAAAAAATATTTGAAAGCTAATAATCGTTTAGAAACACAGACTTCGATTGCGAAAGATGTTTACTTTTAAAGGAGTTCTTCTGGGAGAAATACATCTAAATCCTGGTGAAACTTATTAAAACACTGCTTAGGTAAAACTAAATATTCTAGTATCCCCCCGCTGTATGATTCCTTAGCTAAAAAGATTGCAACCAGTCCAGTTGATAGAGCACGAATACTTAATCAGCATTTTTCGTCGGTCAGCACAAAGGATGCAAATTACTTTCCTCCACCCCAGGCATCTCTTCCAATGTCAAAAGTTGTTATGTCAGAAATTACTGTAAATGTTTCTGAGGTTTTTGGTATTCTACTGTATTTAGATGTGTCGAAGGCAACCTCACCAGGAATATCAAATAGGATGTTAAAAGAGTCGGCAGCTATTATTGTTCCTGTTCTCACAGAGTTGTTTAATAACTCACTAAAGTATGTGGAGTTTCCAAAAGCATGGCAATTAGGGTACATAATACCATTGTACAAGTCTGATGATCCTCAATCATCGAACAACTATCGCCCCATTACACTTTTACCAGCTGTATCAAAAATCTTTGAGCGAGTCATTTATCGACATCTCTATGGTTTTTTAAGAACCAACAACTTAATTTGTAAAACCCAGTCTGGTTTTGTACCCCACGACTCCTCTGTGAATCAACTAATTTCAATAGTTGATTTTATTGCTAATAATTTGAATAAGGGAAATCCGGGACTAGCAGCGTTTTTGGATTTCAGGAAGGCATTCAACAAGGTTTCACATAGTGGACTACTGGTTAAGGTTCGCGGTAAGGGATTACCTGATTCGCTGGTTCGATGGTTTGACAGCTATCTATCGTTCAGACGCATTGTGACTATGGTTGACGGAAATACATCGGATGAGCTATCTGTAACGTGCGGAGTTTCCCAGGGTTCTGTATTAGGACCATTGCTTTTTCTAATCTACATTGATGATCTACCTATATCGATTAGATCAACTTGTAAATTATTTGAAGATGACGTGTCTTTATACACAACCACAACTGATATCACAACTGCTGTCAAAGTTATGAATCAAGGTCTTGCTGAAATCGTTGCATGGTCGGTGAAATGAGCACTATTTTTAAATGTGAAAAAGTGTGCAGGAATGTTGTTTACGCTAGATCCGTTGGCGACAGCTCCACCATTAGTTATTAACAACATCCAGTTAGATTATGTCGATAAGCATAGGCGGCGCAAGTTAAAGTTCCTAGGGGTAGCAATAAATTTTTTAAACTCATAATTTTAATAAATAATAACAACTCCCAGTTCCCACTTCTTCTAACAACTCCCAGAATATGTGTTATTAGGGGTAGCAATAACTTTCTATTGCTACCCCTAATTTTCTATAGGGGTAGCAATTTTTTTTCAGGAACAACAAAATATTTTAAGCCTCAAATTTGGGTATATACTCTACACCATTGGAGAAAAACACGATAAGAATATCGCCGAGAAAACCTGAATATTAAAGGAGATTTTGGAAAAATAAAATCGAAACTCTCACGGAACATTTAGTGTGCGAAGCTCGTTTTGGGAAAAGCAATTGTTACTTTTTACAGTAAGAAGTACATTGGTCTTTCACTTCTTTTTATCAAAATGATTCTCAAACTGTGGACTATCTTTTGGCTATTTACGATAAAGACTACGTTTAGTTTTAGCTGAGATACGTGAGATTCAAAAATCTCACGGGACAGAACAAGGTCAAAGTGTTTGTAACAACAATATTTTGATTTATTTGCATAGAAAAGTGCAGTAAACCGTTACTCCATTTACATGTTTTGAGAAACTTAGTCTTCTACTTCAAGTTATAAGAAAAAGATTTAGAACTCATTCAGTGTTTACAAAACAATCCATGTTTCAACGGCAGACGGCACTAAAAACCTTCACCTGCGACAATGCAACCATCATGTCTTGGCGACAGAAGCAGCCAGAGAGTTGTCCTTTTTAACGGTAGTGGATAGAGGTCAAACAAATAAAACAAAAAATATAAAAGAAAGTCCATTCAGCACAAGAAAAGTTATTGCAATTTTACTTTTCGGATATCGACGGTACAATACCAGCGCAAATCGCACAAATATGTCACATTTTTCTTCATCTTGAAACCCTAAATCCGATGAGATATAAATCTTGTACTATAAGCTCTATGTTTTTTTTGAAGTTTTTGAAAATCGCAACATTTCTGGTATTTTAGCCGCTGTGGCACCCGTTTCAAACCAATCTTTTCGAGCGACATCTCATTTGAAAGACTGCAAGAAAATAAATATATTCATGTGTTTTGCTGTGCCTAGTACTTGCAACTTCATGTAAAACATTATCCCAAAATCTTTTATATGCTGAACAGAATCAGCCCAAATTTTTTTTCTGACGATCCATCCGCAGAGGTCTAAAAATATTTCTAAGTTCAAGAAGCAGTGTCAATTCCACACCCCTGTGGAAATTACAGAACTGAAACTGTCGCTCCGTAGCTAGAAAGTTCGTTCAAACGTCAATCGACGCAGTTCATCATGCTCTACTTATGCTATGAAAACGAAGTTTTTTGAATGTTGCACTGAGCTTTGAGAAGGATTTTAGTGTTGTGTCACGGCGTTACGGAAAAAGACCCGTTTTTTCAAGCGCTTCTGGGAATTCTTAATTGGGAAGTTAATTATGTGAAAAGGAAACTTCTAGAGCAAAATTTATAGAGTAACTGAAGGGCTATCCGATGTTTAAAAAACATTTCTTCTAGCGCTTCTCTCTAGGGAGAAAGATGCCAAATAAAAACGTCACGGCGTTACGCACTTTTTTGTCAAACATATTTGAGGCACTTAACACGATGGTAAAGTTTTGATTTTCACAGCTTCCTGTGTCCTTTGTATATTTAATCGATCTGTGCAAAAATCAAGTTGCTGTATCAAAATAAGAGCTCAAAAAGTGGACAGTAAGTTGGAAACTGTACAACTATGTACAAATTGTACATAGCAAGTAAACTCAAAAACACATACGCCATTTTGTAGAGAATTCAATTTTCTACAAAAGCATATTTTTAGAAATTTGTTTTAAAAAATGCTTTTGGTTAAAACATTAAAAATCCGGTTTCTGAAAAGTTCAAAACCAGGTTTTTTCGATGAAAAATGAACTTTTTTAAAAAACGAGTTTCAAACTGGTTCTTAGAATAAAAAACTGCATCTAATCATGTGTTCAAAACTTTCGATATCGAAAAAAAATTTTCGAAAACTTGATCAGTGAAGTGTACCGTTACGTGGACAAGCCGCAGAATCTGCCAATTCGTAGAGAAAACCTATATAGAGTCATATCAGTTCACACTTAGATTCTTTGTACGAACTGGTAGAACTAGAATTGTAATTCTAGCAGCCAGATTCTGAACAGATGGTTAGTAACAATATATATTTGAAAGCTGAGAAGTGTTGTGACCGTCTCTGATTCCATGGAAAAAGCGCGCAGTGTAAGATGCACGGAAAGCAAACTTGCAGTGAAATTTATTTTCGAACATATCATACACCGTTTGATAGAGTACTTCAAAGCGATCAAGAATATATGTGCTTCTATTTTCTTTGACACTTTTTTGCGGTCGAAAAAATAAAAAAATACTTAATAAAAAATATTTAAAAATACTCGAAAGGTGTCAAAAACGGACGTTTTTCGCCTTTTTTCAAATTATGTTACGAAATGGAATATTCTAACTCTGATTTACTTGTAATTCCCAATTTTCTGGATCAGAACTCAATTTTTGAGCAATAAAATATCATGCTCAGAATAAAGATCAAAAACTGAGTCGACTGATGTGTATTTCGAAATTTTTAGTTGACTTTTTCAGTTTTGGGTGAACATCTCGGTAATATTTCAACGTGAAAATGCGAAAAACATTAAAGTAGTCGGATAGGATAGAAATACACATCAGTCGACTCAGTTTTTGATCTTTATTCTGAGCATGATATTTTATTGCTCAAAAATTGAGTTATGATGGAGAAAATTAGGGCTTGGAAGTCCTCTGTCCAATGGTGTATGATATGTTCGAAAATAATTTTCACTGCAGAGTTGTTTTCCGTGCATCTTAATATAAAGCTGCAAACGTTTCTGGATACCCTATGAAGACTCCAAGGGAGTTAGCGCCCTAATCGATTTGCCATGATACATTGTCTATATTCAGAAGTTTTATTATCTGTAGACGACTTCTTTTGTGGCAGGTACTTCCTTTTCGGATGCGCCCAACATTACATGACTTCACAGCCGAAGCGAAGAATTAGTCCGACACCCATCGGTGTTTTCGAATGACCGATTTAATGAAAGTTTGAGCTCATATATCACAAAATCTTCGAAAATTTTACTAACTGTTATCAGAATAGATAGAGCTCACCGAGAACTACAAAATGCCTGTAGCCGATTTTTTGGCAAACGTCATCTTCATCATCATGTTGAGCCTCGAAATTTGTAAAATAGCGATCGTCTTCTGATGATTTATCGCGCTTTTTACTCGGTTTTTCACTTCTGCTGCCGTCATATCATTTCTTTTATCATTAATATATATAGATAACACTAAACAGCAGCACAGACATTAAGTATATTGCATTCACTGTCATGGAAAAGTATACTTTTAGAAAAAGCCCACTTAAATTGTGCCAATAACATCGAAAAAGTGCACCGAAAGTATGCTTTTCCCATTGGAACTTTCAGATACTTTCGAATTAATGCAAAGTAATTTCGACATTCAAAGGAATTTGAACAAATTTGAAAGGAAATTTGTTCACATTAATTTAAAAAACTTTTTGGCGTTCAGAATTACTGCGCATCAATTTAAATCTTTGAATAAATGAAAAAATAATAAAAAAATATACTTCAAATTAATGCGCATTAATTTGAAAATACTGACATTAATTTTAGTTTATGTTTTCGTGAAAAAATTAATTTCCCTCATTACCGCATTATACAAAGTCTTATATTAAATTAATGTACACGAATTTCGAGCTTCGAATTAGTGTACATTAATTCGAAAACTCAACACTAATTTGAAACTCAAATTAATTTGAATTAATGTTTTTCCAAATTCCTTTAACTCAATTTGCACTAATCTGATAGAAATTAATTCAAAACAATTTTCAACTTAAAATTAATCTGAATTAATTTTGGCAGACTTTATCGTTGTTAATTTCCTACCGCATTAATTTAAACGAATTTGTGTTTTTAGAATGGTTTAAATTGATTTGAAAAAGCATTAATTTACAATAATTTTAAAATTAAAAATTCGTTGAAACTAATTTAGATCTAAACCAATTTAAATCAATTTACATGGGAATTAGTTTACATTAATTTTCGGTTAAAAATTAATGTATACTAATTTGAGACTAAACTAGTTCAAATAGTTGGTGAAGATTTCAATATTTTTTTTCAAAAAAGAAAAAAACTCAAAATCCCCATAGTATATCTGATATAGTTAGAGGCTAAGTTTCCCGAAGCAACTTTTTGCGACGAATCCAGTGGCACTCTCAGAAATTCTTGAAAATATTTCTGAACCGAAATAAGTACCTATTTTGGTTTCGAAAAACTTGAAATTCATTTGCATTCATTTTTTTTATAATTATTTACATTAATTTGGGAACAAAAATTCGTTCAGAATAATCTATTTCAGCAAATGTTTTCTAAATCAATTTGAATGAATTAGTTATTACAAACTGATTTAAATTAATTTACAAACAGAAATTAATAGAAATTAATTTTTTTTACAGCACTGCAAAGAAATTTGAGTCTATAAATTAATTTATACTAAATTTTCGATACCAAATTGATGCACATTATTTTCGTTAAATCGGTTGGCACGAATTTTTGATTGAAAATTGGTTTAAACTAATTTTGATCAACAAATCCATTTAGATTGGTTTAAAGAAAAATAATGTACATTAATTTGATACTGGAAATCAATGTAAAGTAATTTATAGACTCAAATTTCTTTGCAGTGCGATAAAAAAGATTAATGTCTATTAATTTCAGTTCGTAAATTAATTTAAATCAATTTAGAATAACTAATTCATTCAAATTGATTTAGAAAACATTTGCTGAAATTAATTTCAAATCAAAGATTAA